ACCAACCAACCAACCAACCAACCAACCAACCAACCAACCAACCAACCCTGGCCCATGCTTGCCAATATGGGCTCTCACCCTAAGGTTCGTGAAGCCCAGTTCGACCGACTCCACCGGTGTTCATGGACGTGCCTCGAAGTGCAAACGCGCGCGCGCGGAGGGGATTGGTGTTTGCCAGCGCCTTGGGAGATGTGAAGCGTTCTTTTTGGGCCTTGGTGTTGCTGTTGGAGTTGCGGCCGTTGTTTTGTCCTGGTTTCCTGTAGAGGTTCTGTTTGGGGGGATCCAAAAGCAAGCCTCAGTCCTTTGGATATTTGGGATTTTATAGATGGAAGATGATGGAAGTTCCAGGGGCAGAAGGGGACCAGGGAGCCATTCGTTGGTGTGTCCAATGCTGGATCAAGAAGGTGCTCTCCGGTGCTCTCAATGCAAAACATCCATAAACATCCTGCACATCCCCCCCAAAACAAGAAGCCTTGAAACATCCTCAAGACTTTGCAGATTACCGTGTTTTGTCCTGTAGGTTTGTATCGTAAATGCTAGTGCCAGTGTTTTTTCTTTCCACCTCCTTTGGTTCGTCGGATCGGCGATGCCGCGAACGGTCGGTCAAGGCTTGGCAGCGACCCTGCTGACCTTGTTGGATGGCATCGAAGGCCCCTCCAGGACGACTGGCTTTTCGTATCTGTTCGTTGGTCGTTTTGGGGTGAGTGCACCCACCAGCTGGTCACCTAATTACTTCGCCAGCCACTTCGTTGTTGCCTCGCCACCAGCTTCTCCGATTTTGGCAGGGGTACTGCTGGCAGGGGGTGTTTTCGCAGGTGGAAGAATCGGAGGTTCTTCGTGGAAGTGATGCATTCCCTAGTCCGAGCTCCAGTCGTAGGTGCTTGGGTTCAGAGTTTAGAGGGTCCAGTCATGCCTTCTGAGGAGGTACTTGCTTGGAGCCCTAGGGTTTTTCGACTCGACTGGGGCTCAGGACTCGTGGCCTCGCCATTTGTGCCAGCACCCGGCGCCCAGCAGTGGAGCTGGATGGGCGGCTCACGCGGCCAGGGCGCATGGACCGGTGGCTCAGGAGAGCAGGGCGGGTGGGTGAAGCTACAAACAGCGGAGGCTTTCCATGTCACCTGACAGATAAACCTTTTCCAAGACACTCTATGGGACTGGCACCTACATTGGGGTGGTGCCACATTGTAGGTGCTGTATTATACCTTTCTCTTGAATGTTTGGGTATTTGTTGACTTTATTGACTTTTTTGGGGCGCCGCATTGATCAGTATCCATGGATGACGCTCGCAAACCTTATGCAACTGGATGTTTCGCTTAACTTGGAGCGGATCATATTGATTTGGGAAGTGGTTTGTTCGGAGGTCAAAGCAACAACCACCACAGCAGCCGAACCAGCTGGATCCGCCATGATCCGCCGCTAGAGAGTTGACAACAGCTCTCACATGATGCGGTCGGTCGGCGTTCTTTTTTGGAAATTTCAACCCCAGCGTGCCCGCAAGCACCCACCCAAATCCACGAGGGTTCTGGCGGATTTGAAGGCTCGGCCTGTCCAAGCCAAGTAACGCCGGAAACAACGCCAGCGACCAAAGTGTTCCGGGCCGGATGACAAACTCCCCGCAAAGAGGTGAGCTTGTTGGGAGTGGGCGGGTCAGTGGGGTGAGTCAAAATAACTGTTCCTGATTCGTGTGAAGCGCACATAGTCACATAGCTTCTTTAGCCCCCCAAAAAACTCCCACACCACGATTGTTGAGTGGTTTGTGACATCAAATGAACATGGTCAACCTCCAAGAGCCTCCACATCTTCCCGATCTCCGATCTTCGCCACCCGATACCTTCCCAAGTCACAGACAGTGTGACAGCGCACCGGGACCCGGGTCTAAAGGACAGATGTCCACCATTTTTTGGGGGGGTCGGGACCTCAACCATGGTGAGCATGGTGGTGTTTCACAGCAGTTGACTCCTTTTCACCGACTCAGAAGCTCTAATTGGTGTTTCTCCTGTATGTTCCACATGTGATCACATGTGCGTCCAAGATCCATGGTGGTGTTTTGATGTTTTTGGGAGCCCTAAGAATCCTTTCACCCTCCAAACTGGAGGTTTTGACCCTGCAGAACGCAGGGGTTTGGACCCTCAAAAGCTTCACCGAACTGAGGGTCCTTGATTCTTAGGCAGGTTTCTTGTTCATTACTTTTTTCTCGGAGAGCCACGGCCGGCTTGTCTTGCGGACACTTCGCCGGGACCATGTTTTGGGGCATCAAAATGGTACATATTCCAGACGCTCCAAACAGCCCTTCATCCCTCAAAACCATAAGGACTTGAGGGTCCAGACCCCTCCATAAGAGAGTTCATGAGCATAATCTGGGCATGGTAGGGAAGGACTCAGGACCGTCCCGGTTTCGGAGCCCAACGGCAGGGTTTCGGAGCCCAACGACTCTGAGCGCCTGGCCTTGCTCCAGCACTTCCTCGAACGCAGTGTGGAGCGCCCCCTGGCTTTCGCGAGAGGGGGGGGAAGTGAACCAAGCTTTTGTATAGACTGGATTGAGAGCTCCATGGCCATGGATTGCTGAGTCTTTTGAAGGCTAAGTTTATAAGGATAGCTAAGGAAGGGTTCCATTTGAACATGGCCATCAAGTTATTCCTACAACTCATCTCCACCCAGATTCCAGCTTCTGGGCGGATGTTTCTTCTCTTCAGGTCGCATGCGCTCGTGTGACCCGAAGATGAAGACTGAAATGGTCGGCGCCACGGCGGGAATGTGGCCTGGGCAGTTGAGATGCCTCGCGCAGAACGCCGTGTCACGCTGCTCGATCTCAAGCGGCGGAAAGGCCGATCTCAAGGATGAGCAGGTGTGGGAAGCGGTGTCTTGGCGTTGGTGAATCACTGGCCACCAGGGACGGGCAGGGGATGCTTTTTGGCAGAAAAGGCAAGTGAATCCACATCCACATCTCCCACGCCACTCGACCTGTGAAAGGCCCAAATGATATCAAATTATGACTAGCCAATCTCGCGCTGGATCATTTGGATGGCCTAGATGTTTGTCAGTCTTTTCCCGCACGTGCACGTTTGTTTCTTTTTTTCGAGCTCGGGGCATCGGAAAACGCTCGGAGGGGCGGGTTTCCAGAGGTTGGCCAGATATGACATCCCATCCCTACATGCTCCAACAGAATGCATTTTAGATTGTCTAACAGGTCAAAAGCATTGCATGTAAAGCAACTTCAAACACATGTCTAAAGCGGGAGCGGCAGCGGTTCATTTGCTTTTTTCTTTCAGAGATTCAGCATGTTGTAACCTTGAAGGAGGAGAAGAAAACAATAGAATCAGTAGAAAACAACCTGTTTCCTGGAGCCTCGATGCTTCAAAGGTCCTTCGAGCCCTGGCTCCGTCACTGGCTCCCACCGCGTCCGCGTCCTCTCCGTCCGTGCCCTCCGCGTCCTCGCTGGCCGCATGTTTGGCACGCGCCGCGGCCACGGAGCTGCCGGATGATGATGACTTCTAAGCGCCTTTTTTGATGGATCTGGCCGGAGCCAAGAGAATCCGCCGAGATGGGCACGGCCTATAGTTCTTGGGGACTTCAAGGATTACATATTTCTTCAAAGCGAACGCAGCTAGCAGCGCAAGGAGAATCAGGCAGATGGCCGGGGGGCATGTATGTGGGCCTTCCGCGCAGCGCCACGGAGCTGCGCTTGTGGCGTGTTTCGGAGTTGGAGCATCTTCAACCAGCAGCGGTCAGCCCAGCGCCTCCCGTTGCTTCGACCCAGCCTCCGCGGTTCCGTCGCTGGAGTTGAAGGCGATGGAGGTACCGATGTGAGCTTGCAACCCATTCATTGGCAGCATGGGACCGAAAAAGAGCTGAACATGGATGCACCGCTGCGTGGCAACATGCGTGGAAGCTGACTGGTTTGGGGGTTTTGGAGTTGGACGAAGTGCGTGTGTGTACCGGATTGGCTAAGACCATCCTCCCGCTAGTGAGCTAGTGCAGAAGAAGCCCCTTTTGTGCAGCGGTGCAACATGTGTTCAAGTCAATCCCACATCAATCCAGCACATTTGCTGGGGTAGCTGGTAGCATGGAATGGCCAGCTTCTGGCGGAGAAAGGCTCAAGCATTGATGAATAAGAGGTTGACCACGGGATAAGCAGAGAAGCTGGTTGAATGAATTCCAGATGATTGGGTGACGGAGAGGTGCTATAGACCAACGTGGGGAGTCACCATGGTCCGACTCTGTAGCCTAGCCTCACTTAACGTAGGAAACTTGACTCTCCCAAAGAGTTTGATCTGAGGTCCCCAGACATGACCCATACCAAGATCTGACATGATTCCGACAGGTCACCTTGATTTCTGACTCACTTGGTCAAGAAAGGGCGCAACGTGTTCTTTTCAACAGGTAGATGCTGTTGAGATGAACCATGATGAACCTGGGGATAGTCCTGGGCAATTATCCGTGGATCTTGAGGTCGAAAGAGTAGCCCTGGCCCATCACGCTTCGCCCGGCGCCCGCCACACCGCGCAGGCTGGCGCGGCGCATGCTGCGGCGGTGGGAAGCTCTCTATCGTGCAAATGGGTTTCGCCAGCACCAACAGAGCAGGGTGCTCATCGTGCCTTGATCGGATGGAAGCATGATCGTGGATGATCATGTTCATCGACGAAGAAGCTGAAGCACTGGTCAATTTGTATAAAGTGTTGGAGTCTGAAAACCTCAAGAGCTGAAACCGGTGGATCATGCGGTGTGTCGATGGACATATATATATATATACATACACCAGGAGTCCCAAAGGGGTGCCTGGAGAATAGGGGTGCCCATGATCCACTCATTTAGGGACTAAAAACAACGACTTTGTGACCACGGATAATTTTTGTTTTTGCATTTTGAGGAGCCTCGTGGATGTTTGAGGTTGACACACCACGGAGCACCTGCTTGTTCCTCCCATGCAGTGCTGAAGCAAAGCAGAGATGCTGCTTGCAGAATGCATGTTTTATTTCCCATGCCCTATAATACAATCATCCTGGTTGCATAGAGTTTCATGGCGCAAGCAATGCCCAGTGGACCGCCAGATTATTTTTCGGAGAGCGTGTGGAGGGAGAAGAACCTGAGGCACGCATTCTGGGCGCATGGCTGGTTCTCACACTACATTCCCTGGAGCTAGCTCATTATCGCGTCACTCAAGGCTCCTTGGCGCAGAGAAGGTGTTGGATTTGGGCGCCCCGGTCCCGGTTGTTCAGAATGTTCTTCGAGTCCTCCCATGTTGTCCACTTCGACTGGTCCTTGTCGTCCACTGCTGGCCATGACTTTCTTCATGGCGCCGCTGGACATGGCAACGCAGGGCATGGCGACACGAGCAAAGCAAAGACTGACTTGAAGATGAAAAAGACCACTTAGAGTCTTAGAGGTTCATGACTCTACCAGCATGTGAACCATGACCAAACCTTATGTAACAAAACCCTACCACTAAGACCCTGGTCATGATCACTCTAAGACCTTTTGAACTTCCAAAGCACCTCTTAGAGTCACCAGTAGGGAATCACCAGTAGAGTCACCTGGGGCAGAGCGCAGTTGCCGAGCCCTCCCCCCTACCGTTCTGAGCCACCGAACAAGTGCGTGGTAGCTGGAAACAGCTGGGGATGTTTGATGTGGAAGAATGGAGTCGGTGTTATATGGGCCAAGTGATCTGGAATGACATGCTTGCTTCGTGCCACGTGCAACAATCGTTCTCAAACAGTTCTTCACCCGGCGATTGCCGCAGTGCCAAGGACTGGCTCGAAGAGCGGGCTTCCTCCTACAGCTGGCTATCTACTGGTGGTGGACAGCACTCCAGAAGATCCGCCAGTTCAAGGCATCCGATCTTCCGGTCGTTGCGTTCTTCTTCTGGCGGAGGATATGGAGGGGAAAGCCGTGGCCGTGGGCCCAAACCTGATGACATCCCCTTTGGTTCATTTCCTGCAGTCCACGTGCAGGTCCCATAATACAATTCCCCCTGACACACACACACACACAGACAGAGTCAGTCCCACATGTTTTGGATGATTGAATTATAGCACCTTTTTGCAAGGCTGGGGTTGTTTGGCCATCACCGCTTCGGTATATGAACATGCAAGGGCGTCTCCTGCGTTTGTGCTGCTTTCCAATGGGTTGGGCTGCAGAGAGCATGAGAAAGGAACCAGCTCAGTGACCTCTCGTTCGAGAATGTTTTTCCCCAACAGCGAACCTAGGGGTCTTCAGCCATAGTAAAGGCTTCGGAGCAGGCTCCGGAGGAGGTTCCGGAGCAGGTTCCGGAGCAGGTTCCGGAGAAGGTTCCGGACGAGGTTCCGGAGGAGGTTCCGGAGGAGGTTCCGGAGGAGGTTTCGGAGGATGTTCCGGAGGAGGTTCTGGAGGAGGGTCCGGAACAGGCTCCGGAGTAGGTTCCGGAGCAGGTTCCGGAGCAGCTTCCGGAGGGACATCTTTTTGCACTTGTTTTCGCGACACTTTTTTTCAAGGGCTGGTTTTTTTGGTCGCTTCAGCTGCGAAGCTTGCCGGCCGTGGGCCTTGAGCTGTTAAGGAATTTTCTTGGAAGCCACTTCGCTGTTAGTTGATGTTTTCATTTCTATTTGGAGTTTTCACCTAGCCCTGGCTTCCAGGGTAACACCCCTCAACTCCACTACACTACATTATTGATGTTTGTATTGAGGTGATGTGGTGAGGAATGGGGATGGGTGGATGTATGTGGGAGCTTTTCTTGAATAGGACCTTGCAAACGAGGAACGCCCCGAACGACGCAAAGTTGCGGTGGTTTTCATTTTTTTCGGTTGGCTTTTGGTTAGATGTGTTGTCTGACTGGGTTGCATAGCACCTCTTGAGAAAGAGGAATGCACTGCATGGTGCACACTGAAGTTTGGCTTCAAGCTCTATGGCACACTGAACACTAGGATTTGGTTATTACCCACTCTAGCCTAGAAAACAATCTTTATCAGGCCCAAGTTCATGATGTTGATCTTCATGTCTTTTAATTACGATGTTGCGGCCATGGTCAGAAGCGTGTGCTTGCATGTCGATTGGTTTGGCTTGGCTGTTGCATTGTGCACTGTATGCTGGCCCTTGGACTTTCTACACTAAGATTTGAAGCAGTGAGTGGCAACTTGTAGTAGTGGACCACTCAAATTCCAGGAGTTGAACGCCTTCTAATCTGGAGCAACTGATTGTTATGTGTGTGAGAGTGAGAACCATTGTTCCATGTGCTTTGTGTCAGTTTCCTGTGTCAACCAGTTTCTGGAATTCCAGAAGCTGGACCAACTCCATGGAATTTGCAGAGTTGTGCAATGAAACTTTTCCAAAGAACATACTGACCGAACGATGGAAACTTGTGTGACCGAACGACAGAAATCTTGTTGACCGAACGCACAAAAACCCGTGTATTGGCACTGACAGTGCCCGAACGACAGATATCTTGTTGACCGATCGCCAAAAACTTGTGTATGGCCACTGGCAGTTCCCGAAGAACAAACCCAGGAGTGACCGAACGACCGATCTCAAGCTGACTGATGCATCAAGTGGCCCAACTGTATGGGCACCGCCAGTTCCCGAACGACAGATCCCAGAGCTTACCCTGCCGTAGCTGTCAACCCCTCAGATGGCATGAGGCGCCGCCAGTTCCCGAACGAAGGAACACCAGGAACCATCCTGATCAACATCATCATGTGACAAGACAAGATGTGTGTAAACCAAAGAGCTTACCCTGCCATCTGAGGGGGGTAGCTGTCAACCCGTCAGGTGGCATGGTCACTTGAAGTGACCGTGCCATTTGAGGGGGTAAGCACTTCCTGGCTGACAATGGGTTTCACTGTCAGGTGCACCAAACCCCCCTCAGATGGCAGGGTCACTTGAAGTGACCGTGCCATGTGAGGGGTTGACAGCTACCCCCCTCAGATGGCAGGGTATCAGTGAACAGTGACAAGATTTTTATATATTTTTATAAACCAAATAGTGTGCCCTCTGTTTTTCCTATCAAAGGAAAGATATTTACATACCAAATAGTGCGAAGATCAATCAAGATCATGTCTTTGATGTTCATGTCGGTGACCAAGATGATGAACAATGATATGATCATGATGGCAGCCTTGATGTTCAAGGTCTTAAATGAGAAGAGAAGTACAGAGGTGCTTGTAGTGTCTTTCATTCATGGTGATGATCCACAAGAAGATCAGCATCATGATCTTAAACCTGATCGATATTCTTTTCTTTGATGATGTTCATGCTGTTGATCACGTTGACGAAAAACAGCCTGGAACAAGATGTTCAATGTTGAAGCGTAGTAAGAACTTGAAGGTCACAATCATGAACTTGGACCTGACCAAGACTGTTTTCTGATGATGATCATGTTGGTGTTCAAGGTGATGAAAAGGAGTGTAACAGTGTGGAACAAGGCTTTAGTTGTGAAGGATGATGAACGCATTGTAGTCTTAATGGTGGCCTTGATGATGAGCAAGGTTTTGATCTTGAAGACAACCACAGTGGTGTTTGTAATGATCCCCAGCAAGGTGAAAACTCCAAATACAAATGAAAACATCAACTAACAGTGAGGTGGTTTTTATTGTCCGGCGCCCGGAGCAATGGGAGCGATTGCGATCAGGATGACCGGGATGATCCCGCATATGGAAAAAACTGTCCAGTGGTTTCAAAGTAGATGGCGCAATCCCCTAGGCGTTTTTTAGATGGGGGTCCATATAAACCACCTTCTGGTGATCGTGCCATCTACTTCTTGAAACCACGAAAACAAATCGATGAAGGCGATTGAACACATGCCCATGGTCCTGGTTCTTCAAAGTGACCGAACCAAACGCCTATGGACGGTCACTGGGTGACACCAAAAAGGTCACGAAGCTGTTCGAAGCTGTTGGTTTAACCAGTGGGTCGGACTGGAATGAATCATGTCATACTCAAGTGGGGGAGACAGCAAGAGATAGAGGGCCATTGAATTCCATTGCAGTAAGAT